GTCTTAATTTATATTTTTCCAGTTTCTGATATTTTTTTTCATTTACCCCTAGGGTTGGGCATAATCATATTGTGTGCAATTAATCATCAGAAAAACATTAATCGATTATTTTTTGGCACTTGACGATGAATATGATGAATGCCAGCAGTTTGCCTGGTGCTCCTACCCGCTTCAAATATGACAAACATAAAAAAAAAAAAAAACATCCAGCAATTTATTTATCTATCAACACATTTTAAAATTTGATGTACAGCCTGAAATCTGTAATTTTGACACAATTTGGAACATATTTTTATGGAGCAAATCTATCCCACTAAATTGGTCTTTTTTTTTTGTATTTTAACTGTAATTTTAACTATGTCCTGTTGTTTCTGTCTACTGTACAACACTTTGGTTGGACTTGTGCTGTTTAAAGTGCTTTATAAATAAAAGTAGTATGGTATGGTATGGTAATTGATTAGGACATAAGGGTGTCCAGGGTCTCCAGGCGATTAATCGTCAAATTAATCGTTATTGGCTAAATACCACAATTAATCGTGATTATTTTTTTGACGATATTGCCCAACCCTATTTACCCCTGACAATGTATCATTCTGCATTGTGTTGCTGGTAACCTGTTGCAAAAACAGATGTCAGTACACCTACCTTTTAGTAGCATTTACAATATCTTTAAAGATAAACTTCAGAACATGTGAAGAACTACAAAAGAAGGCCTCTTCTAAAGTCTAACTCTATTTTAACATCTTCCTGTCTTCTCCAGGTTTCGTCAGCGTGGAGTTAAACCCGGTGGCAGCTGTCAGTGTGCAACTTTTCTCCGGAGAAACAAAACTTCATGTAACTGGGCCGATCCAGATCAGCCTCGGTGTCCCTGACAGCTGTGGACTCCAGGCTCCAGCTGCTGTTCCTGTGTGGTTCTTCAACCAGACCACTGGTGAGTCAGACGTGGGTCCGATCAGAACCAGAGTGGTCTGTTCAGAAACACCTTGAGTATAAAAAACATTTCTGGTGTTCTTCTTGCCGTCTTTTGTTGAATATTTATTGTTTCTGACACGTTTGTGTTTTCTGTAGGAGGCTGGATGAGAAAAGGACTTGGAAAGATGATAATGGTGAACGGAAAACTCACGTGGACTTTCACTGCTCCTCACCTGGGCTACTGGATGGCAGCACCTGTATCCTCCACCAGAGGTCTGATTTTTACTTTAATATGTCAAAATATTCTGTATTTTGTTTTCACAAACATCTTTTGCCCCAGATATTCAGCAGGGTTGAGTTGAGGGCATTCAAAGTGTAGAAATAATTAAAGATATTTTGCTTCATTATATTTTGTGCAGTTGTTTGAAATGCATTTTTACTAATTTGTTTATATTATTTCCAACCGTTTTCTCCAGGGTTTTTTGTACTCTCCACCATCATTGACTTTACCTTCCGTCATTTATTTTTCCTGACGGTTCTCCTCGGAGGAACCCTCCTCATCATCATCTGTCTCCTGATTGGGATGATATGTTATTGCAGGTAACCGTGCTTTCATATTGTTTTGACTTTTTTTTCACATATTGTTTTGATCTTTATGTGGCCATCATTCATAATCACTGCTCGGAACATTTTAAAGATGAATGTCATGATTCCAATTGCAAATGTTTGACCTTTCTTCCAGGAATATTTCTTATGGCATTAACTTTGAGTAATAGCTTTACTATGGGGCGCCGTTTGTAAAGTTACACTGCCAAAAATTATCAGCAATATTTAGCTTTATTTAGCCTTTCAGAATAAAAAAAATAGGGGGCATTTTTCAAAGTAATGTTTTTACCTTGATATTCATACATTTATAAATGTCATAGTTCCAAACTAAATATTTAATTTCCAAGCTAAATATTTAGTTTTCACACTAAATATTTAGCTTGGAGATTAAATATTTAGTTTGCAAGCTAAATATTTAGCTGCAACATAAATATTTAGTTTGCAGTTAAATACAGTATTTAGCTTGCTAAATAAATATTTAATTTGCAAGTTAAATATTTGGGTTCTGGTCTTCCCTATGTCTGCCTCATGTCTTGGGGGTTGGGTCTCGGYCCTCCACAGTCACTATTAAATATTCCATTAGAGAAATCTTGTATACACACGCATGTTCACAACTGCTCACAAACAGGTGTTCTGATCCGGGGGGTTCTGACTGGTCACTGAGTGTGTATATATGTCTGTGTGTATATACGGACAATATTTATGAATGTAGGCATGTATGTATGTATATCTTTATAAATGTATGTTTATGTGTATATATTTATATATGCCCTCCATTATTTATCCATTTAATTTTCAGGTGAGCAGACAGATGTTGGGTGTGTGGTCCTGTGTTTTGTTGGTGAATATTTAATATACTTCTAATCACTATTTCATCTTCCTAATTACTTCTCTCTCTGTTTTTCTCTCTGTCTCTTTTTTCTCTTCACAATTTAGTTTGTAAAATAAATATTTAGCTTGCTAACTAAATATTTAATTTGCAAGTTAAGCATTTAGTTTGTAAACAAAATATTTAACTTGTAAATTAAATATTCAGTTAGCACTGTAAATATTTAATTTTTAGCAAGCTAAATATTTAGCTACAAACTAAACATTTATGTTGTAGCTACTGTAAATATTTAGCTTGGAAATTAAATATTTAATCCCCAAGCTAAATATTTAGTGTGTAAACTAAAAATTTAGTTTAGAAATTAAATATTAATTTGGAGCTACGACACTTATGAATGTATGAATATCAAGGTAAAAATATTACTTTGAAAAATGCCCCCCTATTTTTTTCTTATGAAAGGCTAAATAAAGCTTAATATTGCTGGTAATCTTTGGCAGTGTAACTTTACAAATGGCACCCCATAGCTTACAACCTGCGTGACCGAGCAGCTCAAGATTCTAAACCAACAAAAAAAATTTACTCAATGCAGCAGAAGTCAACATGAGAGCAAGAGGAAGATGTTTTTATGTTACAAGATGCTCACTGATTTGATGAAAATGTGTTGTTTTTGTTTGCAGGAAGCAGTTCAKTAAAAATAAAACCAGGAAAATCCCAACAGTGAGTAAAAAGGATCAGACCACTTCCACGTGTCATCCTGAAGCCTCTGGGACGTCCTCAGGGAACTCCKCTCAACCAGCAGATATGAACCAGAAAGCGTTCCAAAAGAGTGGAAACAACAGTGATGTGATAGTTAACCCCGGAGTTGTGACTGTTTCAGTCGAGTCTCACAGACAGGACTGTACGACCTCAGAACAAACTCCTCCGTCTCTAACCGACAGCTTGTTCTTCTACAACCAGCCTGTCGCCATTCTTCCCGCCTCAGCATTTTTCCACCTGGAGGAGGAACAGGAGCAGACCGAGTGGAGCAGGTCGGCCACTCTGCCACGGATGGGCTTTTCAAACGGGTCTGCCGCGGAGCCGCAGAGGAAAGACAGCTTCACCCAGACTCTGCAAAACGCTCCCTCTGCCGCCCAGAGCCAGGCGGTAGAAACTGAGGATCAGCCCGGAGGTCTGGAAATCTCTCAGACTTCAAACGGCACAAGCAGGGGCCCTTTCGGCCTCCCAGAGTCCGTTTCAGAACCGGGAACGTTAAATAAAATCAGGGAGAGCAGACGTTCCGTCCACGCCTTCACGGGTTTATCCAAAATCCCATCACCTCAGCCTCCTCGAGCCTGGTTTGTATCTCTGGAGGGAAAACCGGCGGCTGAGATCCGTTACAGTGTGTCAGAGCAGCAGAGGAGGCAGAGGCCCATCGAGAGTCGAGAAACCAGTTTGGACTCTGGGGTGGACATGAGTGAACTGAGACAGACCTCTGGTAGGAGGACTGTAACCCTGGAGAGAAACGCAACTTTTGTCAAAAACACATCACCTAAAAACACACCCCAACAGTAAAACACTTTTTAAAGTACTATTTTGGTCAGATTTACACAAAAAAACTGAAGTTTAACCTCATGTTGTGTTCTTCATTTTGTTAAGGACAATTAAACTAAATGAAAAACAATGAAAATTAACCTCTGTCTACAATCACTGTCCTTGTTTTACATTTCAGTCCATTTTGGCTTGATTTTAAGACTTTACTTACTGCATTCAAAWTTTTAATTAGGTTTCTTTAACACTGACAGATCAGTAACAGCATTTAGGCCTAAACCAACCAGTTTCAAAATCCACAGTAAAGTAAACAAATGATCAGATTTTTCTGAGTCTTTTAAAGCTGCAGTATAAAAATATRTATTTTACGTATTTGTTAAAACTGTCACTATGTCCTAACATATAGATATGAGACGGATGATCTGTGAAAAAAAAATAAAGCTCCCAGTGGTCCTACAGCTATCTGCAGAAATATACCATTCCCGGTCAGAAACAGCCAATAAGAGACAGGAGAAATGGGGGAGGGACCTGTTCAATGTGTTTGTTCAAATTTTCAGGCTAACTCAAACTTTTAAAAACTCCCAACTACAGCTTTAGGTCTCATTCTTTCTCTGGTGTTTGACTCAAGCAARTAGGATCCAAAAGAGTTATTTTTTTGTTCAATAATTTATTTAAACTTTTACTTACTCTTTTAATGTTTGTTTTTTTTTTTCTTTTATTTCTGTTTTCTTGTTCTTAATATGTTTGACTTACTTGTAAAACATTTTGGTCTGTTTATTTGTGCTTTGGAATAAAACTGACTTTTATATTAAAAAACAAGAGACTTTTTACAACCTTATACCTTTTTACATTTTATAGACRTTGTTAGGGTGACTAGAAAGAAAAGAAATGTATCTTAATGTTTCTAAAGACAGCAGATACTGTATCGTCAAAAGAGCTGAATTAGTCCTCCAGAAGATGGCAGCAATGTAGCTCCTAGCAGGAGAAGACTGGTGCAAATCTATACAACTGTTTGGATCTGCGTTATAGAAAGCTGCAAGTGACATAACATGTGTGCTTAAAAACACCTGGGGCCTSATGTWTTAATGATGCAYATGTAAAAGAATATGCTTACCTCCACGTAAACCTTTTTAGTGGTTGAAAAATAGRTGAGCATAGGTCACTGGCACAAAACAGAGACTTTTTAATCTKCATGTGTTTTGTGCTTCACAGAGAACTGCTTATGTGAGTCAGTACCAGAATTTACACTGCAGATACAGCACCAGACCATRACCGACCAGTCATCTGAGGTGTCTCCTTCCAGTTATTGCAATCAATGGTAAGACTTTGAACATAAGGTGGTAATGGTGCGGGGGTAACGTTAGAGATTAGCCATAAAATGACAATTTGTTCCAACACAATAAGAATTAACTGGTACTCAACTGCAATGCTCTTGTTGTGTTTGGGTAACTTTGACCTGATTTCAAAATTTACGAAGTCATGTATGTTTAACCATAACTGCTGAAAATGACATGCATGGTTTTAGTCTGCTCTTGTCACATTATAGCTATATTTGTAGAATCTTATTGTGATTTTTTTTCCTATCCAAATAGTATGCTTGGTAAACACATGCTATTGAAAAATTGAGAAATTTAGGTATGTTGTGTAATACATCTTAAAAATATAAAATATTTGTTACCGTTGGAAAAAATAGGGGGGAAAAAGCCTTAATTGTTGAGCTGAAGTGGAACAGAAAAAGGTGCAGAGTAGATAC